TATGCTGTCTAAGAAGAGGCCCATCCTTGCTTTTTGTCCTTGTTCCGAAAGAGAAGAATCCAGCGGTTTGATTTCACAATAAAACACAAAGTCGCTCGATTTTTGACGATTGTAAGTTTTCTTCAGGGAGGATTGGTAAGGAAAAAGCTCTTTCAGGTGCAGCGAAAGAGATAAGAGTAGATTATGGAAAAAAAAGGCAAGGTGACAAAAACATACTCCGGTACAAAATGAGAACAATTCCCTACGCCTTTCACCACAAGCAGGTATTTGATGGTAAGCTGGTTAGTTCCCTGGGAAAATCATATCCATTATTATTTCACTAAGGATGCTGAGATTGGATGGCGGGGACCTTTTTGGGGATGAAGGCAGCTGCTTCTGTAATCGGCGGTTGGACTGTGTGCTTGTTCTTCCTACCATTTCTGTTGGTTTATTTTTCTTGGCTTGCCCTCACTGAACACTGAACTCCTGAAAGGCAGTTTGAGAAACTGCAGAGCGTGGCATCATTGGCTCTAATCCACCACGCACGGATCCGGCTGGCTTAGTGGCTTCATTTACATTTGATCCATGCAAATGCCTGAAGTTACACTACGTTTTGGAACCCGAGCTCAGCTCCTCTGGCAGTCTGAGGTTGGAAGCGGGTAGCCATGAGTATGAAGCAGCCCTGAGATAACTGAAGCCAAGCAGAGCGTATCCCAAACCAGCTTCACAGCAGCTTCTTCAATGGACCGGGGAAGTTAAGAACTGCCTGCATGACCACAATGCCTTTTGCAGCACCTTTCAGAATCCATCACGCTTACAGCGGGGCACACACGATTTCTGCTTTGTGCCTCCACACGGGTGAGTGCTTCAGAGTGAACCTTCATAAACAAGGCCCTTTTCTAACTTGGAAAACGACTGCCATTTATAAATGTTTCGTATTTATTTCTAATGAGTTTACCGGGGTCTACGTATGAGAGAGACACGGCTGAAGCCATTGAACTGATTAGACATTAGAAAAATGCATTCACATATAATCTCAACCTCTGATTTATGACTGTTTCAGTTGCTGGACCTGCTAGCAAGGAAAGCAGCACAACTCCAGCAGTCTTCAGCAGAGGCATCGTACTTCTGCTTTCTTCTCTGTAACCCACCGGCGGCACCTCAGCCGCCCTTCACTCAGCTCGAGCTCATCCAGCAGGGGCTTATTTAGCCCAAAGCATCCACCAGAAATGGCCTGCAACAGCCCAACAGATGTGTAAGGTGTTCTGGGACTCGCTGAGAGGACTCTCACTATGGCCTGCTTCAAAAATCATGCAGTAAAAGGTTGTAAGTATTTAAATGGCTTTAGCTGAAAGTATTGATTTTCAGAAGCAAAATTATAACACAACCGTTTTCCTGCCTCATAGGAGCATTAACATAAGAGCTAAACAAACCTCCTTGATGATGTAAAGTCCTATTCCTATTGCCAGCCTTTCTGTCTGGCTCTGGATTTTTCATGTTGACACTGAAAATGCCCCTAAAATACAAGTTATCTGTGAAATTACAGTTATTGTAGCATCCCTCTTCCACAAAAAGGGAAACCGAGCGACCGGCTGCCTAAAATAACAACCCTGTGCAATCCGGTTGTGCTTTTCTGATGCTCTTGTATTCACCTCCCCTAACACCGTGCTACCATGATAAGCATAACCATTTTCTCCCTTGTGCTATATTTTGGCCATACGCTGGAATTTGATGCAGAAGTCACCATTTGCTAAGGATAAGAAATGGCTTTAATGCCACAAACTGACACCTGAATCTTACCAATTTTTCCCCGTTTCATTTCTTCCAATAACCCAACCAATTGGTTTGAGCAAGCAATTCAGAAAAAAAAATAAATGTAATAGAGGTCCCTCTTTTCAGAAAGGTACTTCTGTCCAATTGCTTTCATCTTGAGAATACAGCTATGAGGTCTGTTTCTAGGGATGTCCTTCAGCAGGCAGCAGGAATTGTAAAATCAGTCACACAAACGGCCTACCACATATAAAAATAACCAATATATCAACAGGGCTGAAGCCCAGCAGCAGTTAAAATAACTACCGGATCACTAATGTTAAACTTACAACGCAGCTCAACAGATACACCTAGAAAGAAAAAGAGCAGGCCATGTTTAATTTGATTTATGCCATGGCTTCGTTTTTTATTCAAGACATGAAACATTCTGAAAAGCGAATGCTAAAAAGTGGAAAAAGATTGCCATAGCAGTATGAAATAGAACAAAGTGCAAAGCGGATAGGGGAACATTCCTGTCTCTAACGAGACAAATGCTAGGGCTGAGATAAATTTGAGATTGTCTCTTGGTGGCAGAGCCTTCTTAGGCAGACGCCGCTGGGCCCGCTCCCGCCACACGTGGTTTTGCTCTCCTCCATGCGGCTGCTTTAGGGATAAATCCTGCCCTGTCAGTCCAGTCAGCAGCTTCTCTGTAAGCTGAGCTGCATTTATTTGTAGTTGCATCTTGCTGAAGTTTTGAAGTTTTGAGAGCCTGGAGGATGGAGGGAGGTAAGGGAGGTAATAAGTTGTACAGTTGAGATGACTTTGATCGCAAAAGAATATAAGCCCCTCAGCCTGTTCTGAAATCCCTCTGCAAACCTTGCTACGTCAGAATAATCTTTCCTGTTTATAGGGAAACGAGTTTGTTTGTTTGGACGAAGCGCAGCTACGCGTGGCTCTTTATGCTGCAAGAGTACTGGGGCGATCATGGCCTGCTAAAGGGTTGGACGGAGCACATCCTGCAGACAGCCAGACGTGCTGCACATTTGCCAGGTGTTGGAGGACGTTAAGACATTAACACAGGAAGCAAAGAAATGGGTGGATAGGATGAAGGTGAATTAAATACTCTGTTGTATATTAGAGAAGGCAAACCCTGTCTGTACAGGTGGAAAAAAGCTTAAGGACAGCAGGGTTAGTGAGATACGCATTTGATCTCTCCTAGAAGACACAGGCTGAAATCCCACTCTGCTTGAAATCCCGATGAGAATTCACACCGACTTCAACGGGGCCAGCGTTTAGCCTATAGTCAGCAAATTACTTGATTAGACAGCGCAAAAATATCGTCCTGGCTAAAGACAATTATTTTCAGTATCTCGGGTGGAGCTCCAGGAAAGGAGGGAACAGACTGCACAGCAGGGTCCGTGGCGACGGAAAATGGGGAAACGGCTTCCAGCTCAGGGAGGGCAGATTCACGTTAAGTATGCGATAAAAATCTTTTACGGTGAGGGCGGTTTTGAGTCGATTCACTGCTCGAGAAGGGCTGAAGATGAATTTTCCCCCGCTAATGCAAATCCCAGCAAGTTTTACGCCGCGCCGGCAGCCGCAGGGCACGCAGGAGCACCGATCCCTTCAGTCGGAGGGCGTCGAGGGGCGCAGGCACCCACAGACGGCGGCCGGGAGACGGGACGTCGCCCCCAGCGCTCTGCCCGTTGCCCCGTGCCGCCACGAGGGGGCGCCGCTGAGCCGCCGTCACGGGGCCGTCAGCCGGGGCTGTCAGCGCACAAACTCGTGTGTCCTACGCAGCCTTGAAGTTTGCGCTGTGCTGTTTGTGCTGTGAAGATTCAGTATGTTGTGTAGCGTACAGGGACAGCTGTTTTGGACTAAGAAGAAGAATATGTGGCTCGGAACACCGGAAACCTTCCAGCCACACCTTTTCCCTCTGTATGAACATGACTCTTTTCACACCCATTTGTGCAGCATAGCTTGCAGCAAGCACTGCTTGTATGTTGGAAACTATTGACTAAATAGCAGTTGAATTAAAGAATGCAGATTAGAAAAGGCATCGAGATGCCGAGCGGGTCCGGAGGAGGGCTGCTAAGACGATCAAAGGGCCGGAGCACCTCTCCTGTGAGGGAAAGGTTGAAGGAACTGGGCTCATTTAGCTTGGAGGAGATCTCATAGCGGCCTTCCAGTACGTGAAGGGAGCATATATAAACAGGAGGAGGAATGGCTGTTTACGAGGGTGGATTGTGATGGGACGAGGGGGAATGGTTTTAAACTGAGGTCAGGGGAGGTTTATTAGATATCAGGGGGAAGTTTTTCACTCAGAGGGTGGTGAGGCACTGGAACGGGTTGCCCCAGGAAGTTGTGGATGCCCCATACCTGGAGGCATTCAAGGCCAGGCCAGATGCGGCTCCAGGCAGCCCGGTCTGGTGCTTGGCAACCCTGCACATAGCAGGGGGTTGGAACTATTCAGAAAGCAGCACCAGCTCACACCAGTAGCTGCAAGCTCTGTGATACGATGCTATTTGTCTCCCAGAACGACTCCCTCAGATCATTAAAGGAAACGTCAGGGTTTTGCTCAGCTGGGAGATGAGCTGTCACAGAACCTCCAGCAGGATCACTCTCACATTCAGGTCTCCCTTCTTTTCCCACCTGTTGCAGCTGATGTCCGTAACAACATGCAATAAAAGCATTCACAGTTCTGCAGCAATAAAAATTAAAAAGCAGCACAGTCCAACTTTCAGGATAGTAAATTAAGAATGATGCTACATCAAGGGAATTCCATCACTGAAGTCTTTACAGTGTACCTGTGTCCTTAGCTAGACACATCTAAAATCTCATGGAAGGTCTTCCTAGTGATTTCTACGACAAGTGGACGTAACCCTGAGCAACGGGGCAGAGAAACCAAATCGCAAAGCATCTTCAAAGCGCAATTTGAGTCCGTCATTCAGATCTAGAGTCCACGTGTCTACCTGTCAAAGCCCCGGGCCCGCCCTAACGAGGCCCGGCTGCGCTAACGAGGCAACGACCGCCAGGTGCCGGGCACAGCTGCGCCTCGTCCGGAGCTCAGCGCAGGGCCCGCCCCAAAGCCTCTTAAGCTCCTCCGGGGCGCTGCCAGGAGCCACGAGGGAGCTCTGGGCAGTTCCTCGCTGGGTGTGTTTCTTTGTCCGCTCCCGGTGCTGTCGGGGCTGCTTTGGAAGTGAAACTTTGGAGCTCTGTTTCATGTTCTCTGTTCCTTGTTTATTTTTTGTTTTCAGGTTGCAGAGCGGCATCAAGATTCGCCCCAACAGATGAGCCGTGCTGGTTGTAATGGGACCCCGGGGGCGGTGAGCGCTCGGTGGTCCTTAAGGGCTCTTTGTTCGGGGTAAGAGGCTGCCGGGCTCTCACCGTGCTCTTCTTGGGGCCGGCACAGGGCTGTCGCCAGGCTTCCCTGGCTTTTTAGAGCTGGTGTTGCGTCGCTGCCCGCCTTTTCTCGCGTTCGGTTCTCTCATCTTTCCATCCCTGGGTTTTTTTAGCGGGCGCTTCAGTTCCTCCTGCTCTTGTTAATGGGAGCGAGCAGGACGGGGCTGTATTCCTGCAGCCTCGGTGCAGCTGGGAGCAAGAAGCAACTCAAAGAGCCGCTAAAGCCAAGCGTTCTCTTATTGCAGACTGAGCGAGGGCTGTGGAGAGCTTCTGCTCATTCCAAACCAGCGAGCATTTGGGAGTCGGTAGGTGAGTTCCTGCTTCTAGCAGCAGGATGGGACTGTGTGTTTACCCCCTCCTTACATTTATCTTTAGAAGCACAATCTCATTCCCATCATGAAGGCACACTGGGACAGCTTTTGTGACTGGAATGCTGTTTGGGATGGCTGTGTTCTCTTTCAACGTGACAAACTAGCAGGGTGATGGAGTTGCTGTTGAGGTGAGAGAGCTGGATGGAGCCCTGCCTAGGGATGAGAGAAGAAGAGGAGAGCACTCAAGTGAGACTTAATAGGCAGGTGAAGGTGGGTAACATCCCTGGAGCGTGTTGGTGACAAACCAGGATGAGGAAAGTAGGTAAGATCTGTGTGCAGCTGAAAGCAGCCTTACAGCTGTGGGCATTAGCTGGCAGGGTGGCTCGATCAACCCTGACAATTGTTAGGAAAGCAAGGCTGCCAGGCATGCTTGTTGCATGAGGCTTCTGCAGTGTGTTGAAAGTAAAAAATTTGGACACAGGTGATAGAGGAGCTTGTTCTCCCTGTTGAGGGAGGGTCAAGTTCAGTATCTCATGTGGAAGAAGCAAAGCAGTAAGTAGGATTGAGACAGCAGACTTTGAGGGAGTCTGCTGTGCCCTCTTAAAGGGCTTAGAGGGAGTTACCCCTGCAGCATCAGAAGGAGTCCAGCAAGCATTTGCTGAAGCTAGTGCGATTCCTTCTTCTGCGCTCAGGAGGAGCGCTTCTCTAGGAGCAAGAAAGTGAGGGAAAATGGCAGGAGAGCCGCATGGGAGAGCAAGGAGCCCCCAAAAGAGGAGCAGGAAGAGATGGGAGGCCCAGGGAATATCACCTTTGGGGAGGTCAAGGGTAACAGAAGCTTGCAAGCTTGCGAACAGCAAGAAGGAGGCTAGGGGTGGTGTGGGCCTGCTGTCTCGGCAGGCGGGGGCCCAGAACGCCTTCTGTGCTTTAGCCATCAGGACTGAGACTGCAGAGACCACTCCTTGAGAATCCTGGATCCCACAGGAAAGAGCCTTTGAGGAAGGATGACTTCTCGATTGCAGAGGAGGTGAATATCAGCTAGGCAAAACTGATGCCCACAGCTCCCTGGGCTCTATGGGGATGTGCCAGTGTGTGCCAAGGGAGCTGGCGGAAGCCACTGCCAGCTGGCTCTCTATAGCATTCTCTATGATCTTTGCTATAGGAAAGATTTGTGAGGATGGGAGGATAGCCAGCTTCTCTGCAGCCTTCAAGGAGGGTGAGGAGGATGGCCTCATCTCAGTCCCTGGATCAGCTTGTTCCAGATGTCATCTCCAAGCAACTTGAAGGGAAGAGATTTCTAGGGGTAGTAAAGGTGGGTTCATGGTGGGGAAATCAGGCCAGACTGGCACAGGAGCCTTCTATGTGGTCATGACCATCTCTTCAGATGAGAGAAGAGCAGGGGATGTTGCACACCTGACTTCAGTGAGGCTTTTAACACTGTTCGTGGCAGTGTGATTGTAATGGTGCTTATCGAGAGTGAGATTGGTGATTGAGGGAGGATGGGCAGGCTCAGCAGTGTAGTCAAAAGCTGTAATGTTATGTGGGGTGGGTACTGCATCTTACTGTGCTTTTTTTGTCATCAGTGACCTGGATGAAGAGAGAGGGAGCTGATGATGTGAAGCTGGGAGGAGCAGCTGACAGCAGGACCCAGTGAACTTCAAGGAGAGCAGGTATGAGGCTGTGCAGCTAACATGCACTGCATGTTAGTGAGTGGCCTGCTGGAAAGGAGACCTGAGGGGGGCTTGGTGTTCAGCTGTGAGCCAGCAGAGCACCCCAGAAAGCCAATTCTATCCTGGGCTGTGTGAAAATGAGAGCAATAGGGTTCTGCCCCGGTGAGCCTGTGTCTGGACTACTGCATTCACTTCTTTGTCTCTACAGGTCAAGAAGATGAGAAACTTGCACTACTGCAACTACTGCACTCTGTACAACAAAGAAGATGAGGAGCTTGGAGCATCTCCCTTCTGAGGAAAGGATGTTCAACAACCTATGGCTGCTTTACCAAGAGAAGGGAAGGTGAGTGGGATCTCCCTGCTGTTATTAAGTTTGTAAAGTGTGGTTGCTTTGAGGATGATATTCATGGACTTGACCACCATAAGTTTTTTACAATCGGAAGGAGGAATGATTTCTCTGTGAGAGCAATGGTATAGTCTGGTTGAGAAGGTATCAAGCGTGCTTCTCTGGGAACGTTTAAGTTGAGTCAGGATGCTTTCCTGGGCAAGGTGCTGTAGCAAGGGAGTGCAACAGGATAGTTTGTAGAGGAGTCTTTCCAATTGTTTACTGCTCTGACTTTTTTTTTTTAATCTGGTTCCAGGGTGAAAGCTGCAGACAAGTTTTCCTTTTTGCAGAGATTGCCTGAACATGAGATTTCATCAGTGGTGAGTAGCAGGGGTGTGATCCTTCCAACCTGAGGGCCACAGACCCCTAAGGGTGCCTTGGTGGTGTTCACAGCTCTTCTAGGTTCAGTGCTGGAGCAAGGATCCTGGTAGCAACTGCTGCCTCTGCAGAGGGAGGTGAGTTTTTTGTTTGTGACCTGCCAGTGGTGTTCCTGGGATGGAGTTTAGAGCTGCCTTTGTGCCTTTTGTCCTGGTGAAGTTTCATTGTGGTTTGTGGTTTTTTTTTTTTCAGGCTTGAAGGTGTTGTTTTGAGCAGTGCCTGCAGTGGAGATTCAGCAGCCATTGTTCAGGAATTTGGAGTGTTCTGAAGAGGAAGGCCAGAATTTTTGATGGGGAGCTGCACACTATCAAGATGAAGAAGTGCAAGTGGCTGATGAGGTACATGGTGTCTGTGGCCCTATTGTGTGGTTTTTTTTTTCCTTTTTTTTTTTTTTTTTTAGTAGATTTTGAAGTTGGTTGGGTTTGAGGTGAGCGGTTGTGTTTATTTGGTGTTGGTGGCTGTGTTGTCCTGTGTCTGGGAGCCTCTTCTTAGTTCTTCTTGTTTTTTTGTTTTATGGGGGCTGTTGACTGGGGTTTGCACTATGTCAAGAGATTATTTTTTTGGGGGTGGGAGGGTGGGTGCTGGTCAGTATTGGAAATTTCTTTGTTTTGGCCTGGGGGCTCCCCCTGAGTGGGGGGGTGGTGAGGGGGAGCCCCTCTTGGCCTCCCTTAAGGGGGGGAATGGGGGGAGCCCCTCTTGGCCTGGGGCTCCCCCTGAGTGGTGATGGCTCCTTGGTGGCTGTGTTCTTGGTCCTGGCCTGGAAGGGAGAAGCTGAGTTCTGTGTTCTGCTGGAAGAAAAAGTACAGCTTACTTCAAAGTGAGGTAAAGCCTTTTTGAAACAACTCTTGGTCTGTAGCTTAGGAGGCTGCTTGATTTATGTAGCAGTTTACTGCGCCTGGGGTGTACAGTTAAAAAGGGTTTGGATAAGTGGCTGGAGGTGAAATGTGCCTGTGGAGTGTGTACAAGGCTATGCTCCATGTATGCTAGGGATGTTTTACAGCAACAGTGATGTCTGAAATAGGCTGAGATGGTTAGGAAGGAGGAAGGTTGCTGTTCTCTGTGACTTTCTTGCTGAATCCTCCTGGGGGGCAAAAAAAAAAAAAAAAAGTTTCTAACATGAAAATGAATGGAAATGCTTATGAAGCCTCCTCTTTAGGAGAGGTCTGTAATGAGGCCAGCTCAGATTTCTAGATTAATTTATATAAAAACAAATCTCGTTGTGTGGGTAAGGTTTTACTTGTAGTACTTAAGACTGTGCCTCTCACCAAATGTGCTGAAACAAAACAGCAGACAGACAACTTAGAAACTTCTAAACTTAAAACTGAAAACCTAGGTGTCTCCTCTTAAGAGAGACTTCTCACTTTTGTTTCCTTCTTGCTGAAGCGAAACTGTGGAGAAGAACTTCAAGGCTTAACTTTGTTCTTGTTTCAATGCGTGCCCCAAAAATACTGGTAATTTTGCTTTGGCATGGGAAGTGGGTGAGTATATGTCAGTTCTAGAGAAGAATTATCAGCTTGCAGCAAATTCTTGGAAAGACTGTTGCTGCTGCAGGTGGGAATGCTCTATTGCCTGTGGAAATGGGATGCCTAAGAGTATCTGCAATAAAATAGAATGGCTAGACTGATGTAGCTTGAGTTTTTTCCTGGTGAGGCGGATACCTGGCTGTCTCCAGCTTAAAACAAAAAAGCAGAAAATCTTTGCTTACCTCAGGGAAGAAATAAAGCACCTAGCAGTTATTCTGTGCTTGTTTGGGATGTCTTTCCTTGCTGCTGATATGAGCTTATCTCAGCTGGAGGAAGAGGAGGATTGTGACCGCTTCTGCCACTGGCCATTTAGCACGGCATGTTCTGTATTAAAAAAGAGAAAAGAAAAAAGTGAGACTGAAGTTAATAGCCAATACTTTCACAGGTCATCTACTTCAATAGCACAGCGTGTCAGCCTCGTTTGACTCACCGAATGAAACCGCGGTACTTTCCCAGTGCTCGTGTTGTTGCAGCTGAGGTTCTGGAGAGCAGCCTTACTTGAATTTGGTGGAGCTTCAAGCATGAAGGTGGGTGTGCTGGCCTGAGAGCAGAGCGGTGTTGACTCTTGGGAAACAAGTGCTGGTTTCCTTTCATAATGCTGATTTGATGAGGATTATCTCTGGTTTCTTGCTAGGCAGCTCAAACTAGTGCATCTCAGTGATGCCCTTCATCAAGTCATGGTAAGTGGGTGCCTGTGATCCTCTATCCCAAATAGTTCTAATGCAAGTGAATTAAGGCACTGTTCTTTGCTTTTTTTCTTTCTAACAGAAAGAAATGCAACTGACTCTGCATTCTGCCTTTGCGTTATATGCTTGCATATAATATTCTGTTTTTATATATTCAACAATCTGCGGTTATAAATCACCTCTGCTTTTAATTAATGACCCAGTTCTGCTGTGCTTCCAGTGTGGTATCTGGGTAACTCAGGATAGAAAAAAGTTAATTGACTTACTTGCAATACCACTTTGCTAATGACTTGACTTCAGGTGAGTTTCACTGAGTTACTAAGTTATTTTACTCCTTGGTTAAGTGGATGTCTGCAGGCTGTTAACTTGTTACTTCTCATGCAAAGCATATGCTCTTTTCCTGAGGAATGTCTGAAGTGGATGTTAGAGAGATGTTTGCCTCTTTATAAACTTCTCCTAGTGTTACTGCTCCTTGAAATGTCTCATTCTTGGTCATGCAGCAAGAAAGCAGCGTGGGTTGGAAGGAACCAGCGATGCCTGGCTCTGTGCAACTGTCTGAACTTTAACTGCTGTTGCTGAAAGTGTTGTCCAAATGCTTCTAGAAGTCCATTGGCCTGGTCTGACCGGTACCTAGGGAGGAGGAAATAAATAGAAAGTGGTCTTAGAATGGTTTTCTCAACAAAAAAATTACTGTCATTGTATATGCACTATGTGAGTGCAGTTTAATGTAAGGAGGTACAGTATAGGTTTTGATCTGAATGACCTTGGAAGATGATCACAAACTGTGAGAGTGCTTTCCCTGAGTCACAGGCTATAGTTCAGTGCTATTACTTAAGAAATAATTTCATTGTTCACAAATAATTTCCACTCGGAATCATTGTATGACAGTCAGGCTCTGATTGCAGTTGAAGTTCACAGGTACACAGAATAAAGCTGTAAGGCCTGTGTGCTCATAATATTTTCTGCGGTACAACTTAACCCTCAGAGAAAAACTTCAAGAATTCTATTCTGTATCTACAGCCCTGAATCAAACAACCCTTTTGTGTGATGTTGCCCAAGGCTTCAACATAACTCAAACTTTTCTTCTACTTGCCACTAGTGGGTGCAGAGCCCTCTGTCCCTCAAACTTTAGTAGCTATGTATTGTTATTATTATTATTACTTAGTGGTTACCCGTTATCTCCATGCCAATTGAGGTATGAGTGCCCAAAATAGACAAAGGGTAGCATCTGTTGTGTTGGTTTAGACATGGTATACTTGTACTATGTAATTGTAACTTGGAGATGTATTGTGGATGCTCCATCCCTGCAGGCATTCAAGGCCAGGCTGGATGTGGCTCTGGGCAGCCTGGTCTGCTGGTTGGTGTCTCTGCACACAGCAGGGGGTTGGAAGCAGATGAGCATTGTGGTCCTTTGCAAACCAGGTCGTTCTATGGAAAGTGAATCAAATTGTCTTAAAAAGAGAAAAGAATGTACTCAGTGATGTCACATATGAACATCTGAGAAAATATCTCAAATGACAGAGAAAATACTAATTCAGAGCCAAAGTCAAAATCCACTCCTTTTTATTTTGAGTGACGTTAAATAAAGTTTCCCTGCCATTCTGTCCCAAATGCTTGTTTTGTGATAGATCCTTAGCCCAGCCCAAACAGTTTATCCTTGCCCACCCTCTTGGCCAGCTGTTCACATACACTTGCAATCACCCAACAGACACATTCACAAGTCAACACTGCAGCTGCTGCTGTGCCTTTGAAGGAAATGAGAAGTTTCTGCTTCTCTTTTTTCCCCTCCCTTGTTCCTGGATGCTTCTAGGTTGTAAGCATGCAGGAGAAAACGGGAACTGGTTACACCTCCTATACAACTGTTTAGTTTCTCAACGAAGTTATTAAAAAAAAAACAAAAAACACCACAGGCTTCTTTATAAACTTTTTTTTTTTAAAACACCAAAACAACATATTTGTCTTCAGCTAATAGCTCTTATAACAAAACAGAAAAAGAATGGCCACTTTCCGTTTGGAGAATGCAAGATGAGCGTGCCAAAGCTTCTGGGACCTCTGTCAGGCTTCAGCAAGCACATGGCATGTCATGGCTAGTATTTCCAATTGAGAAAAGGGTAAAGCAAAATATGTAACATACGATGATGCAGGGCCAGTTCTTTCATTTCATTTTCACAGCTCAAAGCTATCTCTGCTACATATATATGCATACAAACATATATATATATATGCAGGTGTATTAAGCCTGCTAACACATCTCCTCAAGCTTAAATTACTTGCTGCCTAATTAGCCAGTTGATGAGGTCTAAAGGTCAATGGAATTGATATAACGCTATCCAATATAGTTACTTTTAATTGCAATATGTTAGGTTGAATGGAGTTGTGTTTCAATTCATATGCCAGGAAGCCTACGTATGGAAGTTTGTACTAAGGTGGCTACTTCTCCCTATTGCTTGATAATTGCCCTCTGTTTTTAAATGACTGTTACTTTCTCTAACATTGGAAAGATGGCACTGTTGTTTTTTCCTGTGGACCGAGGTCCCCAGTGGTTCAGTCCACTTCTCTCTACAACTGCTGTTTAAGGTGCTGACAGCCTCCAAGGGCCCGAGGGATCCTGCTATCTTCAGCAAGGTTTAATTTTATTTCCATTTCATACTTAAAGCTCCCGTGACCTTTTTGAACATGTAAATGATAAAAATCATTTCACACACGGATGTATCAAGTGCCACGTCCACCTAGGCTTGTTAATAAACCGCACTGCTCTGTTTCTGCCGGCCTGCGGCTATATTAGCTGTCTGCTCGCCTTATTTGTGAGATATAAATAGCCAGGGACTGCATACTGCCTGTCTAGTTACATTGACATAACAGTGATTTTAATAGTCTTAAACAAACCTGTCTCCTGATGTGGGTCTGTCCCAAATGCTCACTCTTACCTGCTTTCCTTTCTCATGTTCGAGCGGGAGATTCGTAAGCAAAATTTCTCAGCCATCAAACATGCCAATACAAAACAATTAGAAGAGCCACTGAATGACAAGTTTGTACTGTTTGCAAGCTACTGTTGGGAAAGTAATTTTTTGATAACGTTTTATACCTGCACAGCACAGTGGTTCTGACCCACTCTTGCTGCATGGGCTTGCATCAGAGAGCCACGGACTCATCTTGTGGCTTTGCTGTATCATTCTTACTGACAATTGGAGCTAGCTGGTACTCTCTTCCCAGATGCTTGAACCCTCAAGACAGTAATGCCTTACAGTGAAGTAAAGCACAGAGAGGCAGAGAACTAGACTCAATAAGGGATTAAATTAACAAAAGAAGGATTTAGGTATTTAGGTGAGGTTTGACATCCAAATATACAGTTGTGAGATGAAAACCCTCAGCTTGTGACTGAAAAGTTATCTAGGGCTGCTGTGAGGATACGGAGGGACAGCTGCAACTGCCCCAGCTTCCCAGCATCTATTTCTCTGCTGAACTGAGTGCACGTGCACTGTAAGGCACTGCCAGAGCATGCTGGACACCTGCCTCAGTCCCGGGTCACACCACTGGTTCAGGTCTTATTTGGGTAACCGATCCTTCAGTGCTAAATCCAGACTACAGCATCTTCTGAAAGAAGATATTTCTCTTGGATAAGCTGATATCCCTAAGCACAGCGTTATAGAGTGCTGAGAGGGCCCCACGGGACACGCTACCCCTGGAGGACGGCTAGCCAGAACCTAGTGCAAACCATGGAAGTACAGATATCTTTAGAATGAAATATGAGCATGACTGTTGTGCAAAATGAGTTACAATGAGCAAGTTCATCAACGAAATTATAGCCTCTGGAGAAATCATTTGCAACAGCCATGATGAGTAACATCTCACCCTGTGACTCCGTTGACTTCCATCTTCCCATACAGTTAAATAGATTACTCTGGAAGTAATGTCTCCTATTTATTTCTACAGAAACTACAGCAGATAAAAAGAGTGCAAGAACGCCATTTGATAGTGTTTTGTAGCTGAAAACTTGCTCTATTTTTCAACAAAGGCACTACTGTCAGCTATGGATTTGATGGCATGGCTTTATGTAACTATACATGCATTATTACATAGCCGTGAAAATATCTCTTTGCAGCTGTGCCCTGATCTGGATTCACAGCTTATGCTTATATCCATGAGGGGACTTCTGCAGGGCATAGGAGAGCTCTGCTGGACATCAAAATGCTTCATAGCTGGGGGCAATAACGCAGCAGCAACAGAGAACATGCTCAGGTGCAACAGTAGTGGGTGCAGAAAAGAAAGAAATTTCTTACCTTTAAAAGACCTGTAAAATCCTCAGGAACATAGACATCCCCAGATGAGAGCCCTTCTCCTCCACCACCAGCCCTTAAATGAGGTCAGGGAAGGGGTGGATCCTGGCTCCACCTCTTCTGATCACTCAGCTGCATTGCATGCACCTGAGCTGCCCTGGATTGGCCCTGCCTTCCACCAGGTGCTCAATCACTGCTTCAAGCTGTGACTCAGCGTTTCCTCTGCAGACGTCAATAAAATCTATGACTGGATTTTTGTCTGCGTAAGAGACTGTACATCAGTGTCATGTTTTTCTTCCAGTACCTCTCCATTAAGCTTTAAGTTCACTGCTTCTCCTTTGCTTGTTATTTGCTGCTTGCTATTTTCCCATCAGCAGTTATCCACCTCTGATTTGATACACTGCTTAGAAATGATTGGTGTCAGATGTCATTTCACATAGCCAGTTTCTCTGGCTTTTGCTAATGAAAACCGCTTCACAACAATTTGCATTTCTGGAGCGGTTCGATGCAGCGATTTCCATTTTCTTATCCTCGTGCACTTCATTCAGTTATTTCTTCTGTGGTACTTCTTGTCCTCCTCACTCTGAAAAAAAAAAAAAAAAAGAAGCAGAACTTTATGCAACTTATCCTTCTGCCTGTAAAATACCCTTTCTGCATAATAATTCATTTTCTTTGCTTTTGGTAGCTACCTGTCAGAACAAGTCTTTGCTATTTTTATTAAAGTCCGTTCCCAATGCTTTTCAAAAAATGACTTCAGTTCTCATTTTGTTTCCTTACTTAATGGCATCTAGCATCCATTCCTCAAAAGCTACGCTTTTTCTCCATGCTACTTACTCACATAAACATCCTTCAGTCCAGGAACCAACATACTAGGATGCAAAGCAAAATACATGATCCGGGCTGCACTGGCTGATGTGCAGTTTAGATTTGATCTTTTGTATTCAAGACTGTGATTTCCCACTCGGGTCTTTCACAGGAAACATAATCA